TGTGTGGCATGTGTGGCATTTGTACCTATAGGCACATTACAGCTGGAGGTCATTGTCTAGTTCATTCCTTGATCACCCTCTTGCTTTACCTTTTGAAACAGTGTCTCTCATTGAACCTTTAGATCATGAATGCCTCTAGGTTGTAAGACCAGTGAGCTGCAGGGATCCACCTGTCTCTAGCCCCCACCACACGACTGGGGTTACATGCACACCCCAGCATACCCTGCTCTCTGTGTGAGTTCTGGGGACCTGAACTCAGGTCTTTGCACCTGTACAGCAAAAATTTATAGACTAAATCATCTCACCAGCCCTTCCCCCTTTTTTGGTAAGATTATTTATTGTCTATCATGTCTTGTGAGATTTTTAAATAGAGGATGGAATAGATTTCACTTGATGAAGCCTGTGATTGGTCATCAGCATCAGATAAAACTGGGCATGGTGGGGCCAGGCAGTGGTGGTATACGCCTTTAATCCCAGCACTGAGAAGGCAGAGGCTAGGGCTGTTACACAGAGAAACCCTGTCTCGAAAAACCAAAAAAAAGAAAAAAACAAAAAGAAAAAAACAAAAAAAAACCCCAAAAAAACAAAAAACAAAAAACAAAAACTGGCATGGTGGCACACACCTATAATCTCAGTACCTGGGTGGCAGAGGTGGGACAAACAAAAGACCAAGGCCATCTTCAGCTAAATAGGAAGTTTGCAGCCAGTCTGGGCAACATAAGATTCTGTGTCCAAAAACAAAAATCATTTAGTTTTCATGTAGATTCTGGGCCTTGTGACTCACCAATCTTAATTATTGGTAGAAAATAGTATTTTTTTTAATTTTCTAGCACTTTTATCGTGTTTTTATGTCAAGTTCTTTATTTTGACATTTGTTATAAAATGGGGATTATGACTCAGCAACCTCGGATGTAAACAGTCCACCCTTGGCTGCTGACTCATGATTCAACAGCCCGTACGCCAATTTCCCACTTCATCTCGGTCTGGATGTAGGCGCCTCCTTCTGTTCCACTGATTGATTAATCTGCTCTTACAACATCACAACGCTGCACATTGATAGTGGTGGCAGCCCCTGTGGCCTGCTTCTGATTCCTGCTCCAGAAGGAGGCTAAAATCAAGACCAGGAATAAGAAGGCGTGCCTGGAGAAAGGCCTCGACCCGGCAGTGCCACAGCAGGGCAGCAAAGGGAAGAACAAGATGCGGCGGGTAAATACGATGAGGGTCAGCGCAGGTCCTGCGAGAAGCTTCTGCCACAGGCCACTGTGGATGCCTGAGTGGTCAGCACCAGGCACCAGAAACTGTCAGACAATAACCCGCGTATCCCACAATGTGTCCTTAAAGAGAGAGGAAACCTTCCTGCTAGGACCATCCCTTTCCACGGCTAGTTCTACCCCTCATGAGATGCAAAGTCCTCAGCTAGTTGGAGAGCAAACAACTGTCCCTGGATGCTCCTTCAGGTTGAACTCTGTGAGTTCTGTCCACCATCCCACATGTCCACCCTCTCCTCACTCTTGATGTGCTCTGCCTGATAGCTCCTTCCCAGGGGGGTCTTTGGAACCCGGTGCTGCAGGACTCGCTTCCTCTCCTGTTCGGCAGTCTCAGGGAGCTCAACTTGACCAGTCCCACCTTCGACTATATTTACTGGCAATCTTCTGTCTTTCTTGCATGTACATCTTCCTGCTTCCACTCAGAACTCTAGCGTAGTGTTTCCCTAAACTTCACATTGTTAGATCCAGCATGCTACTTCAGAGCATCCAGGTCTGCCTCCTTCCGGTTCGGTCCCCCAGCAAGCTGGAGATGCCTCCTAGCTGGGTGGCAGTCTTCTGTCAGTAAGCTCCCCTCTAGCAATCTGAGCAGCTGATGAAGCGGAGGTCTATGTCCATGCTGACTTGAGTAGGGTCTCACTGAGCCTGTACTTTTCCGTGTGGTCTTCAACAACTCCTGAATGAATTTCACAAGATGCTTTGCCCAAATCTACATGTATGAGATTTATAGTTCATAAGCAGGTGGCTGCTGTGTTAAGGAAGGTTTGACACTATTGGTTTTCTGACACGTGTCTGTCTTTAGTTACAGACCAATGAAAAACATTTCTTAGAATTCTGAGATTTTTCCACACAGTTATCTGACGTTCTTAGCTTCTTTTGGAGAGCTGTGACGTTCTGATGAACTCAGATTTCCATTACCCCGTGATGAAGTGCTGGCCATGGGTGGAATCTTCTCCCTTTCAATGCCATAGATCCCTCCTCATTTGCTATCTCACCCCAAGTCTGTTCTACCCTAGAAACAAAAGAAGATCTTCCTGATATGGAAGAGTGAGCAGTTTGTGAGGTTCCCACCACTCCCTGAAGATTTATAGGCAATTAACAATTCCGGGGGATGGGGGAGTAGAGGGGAGACAGTTTCTTCAGTGGTGTAGCCACTAGTAAGTTGCCCATGCTCCTTAATCTATGCTCACATAAACAACCCTAATTAAACTCATCGGTACACGTAAGCACATACACACACACACACACACACACACACACACACACACTAAATGAGACATAAAGAGGGGGAATTGGAAATAGGAAGAGATCAGCAGGAGTGTATGTGGGGCAACAAAGGGTAATGGGGTGGATGTGAACAATATACATTTATTTGTGTGTGTGTGTGTGTGTGTGTATGAACACCACAATGAACCTGTTATGTTTAATTAATGTATACAAATCTAAAAGATTTGATAAATAACCTTACCCACGAAGCAAGCAAACATACACCGGCCTTCTACACAAAATGTGCAAAACCGTTTTTGCTGACTGGATGGGTTCCCAGGGGACACCCCCTGGTTCCTAGACCACGGCACGCTTTGCGTTTTCTCATAGACCCTGCTTTGGCAAACTGACCTAAAACCTTACCCAGGATGCACCTAAACCCACTGAAGTGTGAACTGCAGAGTAAGCCATCTCAGCCATTGTGAAAGTCACAGCTTCCGCATCTGCCCTTCCCCTTAGATCCGCCTCCCCCCCACCCAGTTCAACTCTCTTGCTCGGAGATCTCTTCCTTCTCTGGGATAGGGCTTGTGTGTGACAGCAGCAAGTGTAGCTGCTGCCCCTTCCTGCCTTGGCCTCTGGTCTCAGGTTGGACTGTGCCTTGCTCAGTTCCTCTGGGCGGCAGAAGGCTGCAGTGGGAACTTTCGGTTCCTCTCAGGGCCAGCGTTTATTGAAGTCACTGTCTACCTAACTGAGCTTCTGGTCCCAGAGCCAGGGAGCTGGAGGGCCCATGGCTGTCACGACAACTTGCCAAGCGGAGAACACTTTGTTCCTGTCCCTTTCCGGCCTCTCGGCCTCAGACAATCCCACCACCCACCAAAGCAGGCTGGAAGCTTCCTGTTTTGATCTGGGCCTTTGCCATCTTTAAGTGGGAAAATGTTTGTCCTTGATGAATACCGCTTTCCCTATGCATTGCCTCAACAGTCATTAACCTTTCGGTGGCTGCTGTGCTCTTCTCCTGATTCAATGTTGCCTTCTAATACTGGGGCCATGCAGAAGGAAAACCATGTGTAGACAGGAGGCCCAGCCTCTGGGAATTGGAGAGGTGACGTTGTCAACGTGGCTGAGGTCGCTCCCCATGACATATGAAGTGGCAGACATTTGACAGTCATTCTCCAACAAGGAAAACAATGCCCCACCATCTGCCAGTGTCTGTGGTGTCAATACTCCCACTATCGTACCCACTGGAACAGCTGCTTTGAATAATCAGCTCTTAAGATTTCTGAAGAATTTGGGTTTAAGCCAGTGGGAGCCATTGGCAACAACCCTGGACAGTGTGGTATAAACTCAAATTGGAGGAGATGGCAAGGTCAGCCTGCTCTGGACTTTGGGCATCCTTATCAGAACCTCCTTGTACTAACCAGGGTTTCTATTGTTGCGGTTAAACACCATGACCAAAAGCAAGTTGGGGAGGAGAAGGTTTATCTGGCTTACACTTCCACACCATAGTCCATCTTTGAAGGAAGTTAGGACAGGAACTCAAACAGGGCAGGAACCTAGAGGCAGGAGCTGATGCAGAAGCCATGGAGGGGTGTTGCTTACTGGCTTCCCCCCCCACCAAGCTTCAGTTTATTAGTCTGGAAAGTGGGAGGTGACTACACTTAGCAGATGCTCCCTGAGGGTGATGACTCATGCCTGGGCTTACAGCAGCAGTGAACTTAGACTCTTGGCCTAATAGGTTTTATAATCCTCGTTTGTGGCCAAGGAGACTGGTGTAGCCTAAGAGTGTTAAGTATGCCACTTCAATGACAAACTGCCCCATAAGACGCAACTGAAGGAAGTAAGGGTTACTGGGGCTCACAGTTTGAGAGAATATGGTCCGTCGTGGTAGGGAGGCATGGTAGTGGGCGCATACGGTGGCCGGCTGGCCTTCTTCCTTCTGCAGTCAGGAAGCCAACAGAGAT